AGGAAACACTGATAACACACTGAAACTACAACTCCCATAATGCAGCACAAAAGCTGTTTTTACAAACGACAGGCTACTTGCAATCATTCTGTGGCATGAACACTGTATCTTTGTACGCACATATCTTTGTGAGCAGCTGTTCTTTGTCATGACAATCACCAAAACATCACCTCACACTCACAGCACTGATGAACATCTGAAGCCCATGCTGAGAATCTCACCACCACACAGAACCTTACTTCCACACACAAGCAAACTTGTTTCCCAAAAAAGACGCCAAGATGCTGTTATTCCAACATGGCGAAAAGCACAAATTTTCTTTGTTTTCACACTTTTTTGGGGCAGCATAATTCTCCTTCAAATTTGTATAATTTTGACAAGAGATATATTATTTCAAGTTCGGCCTCAGGTGTGGTTTGCCTTTGAATTCCCTACAAGTCTCAAGGTTCTCACATTTTAATGCCTCGAGCCCCTTTGTATTTTAAAGACATCTTCCATTATGTAACAGCTTGAGATTCACATCAGTAACATCCAGATTTTATTTACAAAATCAAATTGATGTCGACGGCCCGGTGATCCAGTGGTTCGCGCGTCAACCTCACGGTGCAGAGGTACTGGGTTCGATTCTAGCTCCGGCCTCCCTGTGTGGAGTTTGCATGTTCTCCCCGGGCCTGCGTGGGTTTTCTCCGGGTACTCCGGTTTCCTCCCACATTCCAAAAACATGCATGGCAGGCTGATTGAACACTAAATTGTCCCTAGGTGTGACTGTGTGCGTGGATGGTTGTCCGTCTCTGTGTGCCCTGTGATTGGCTGACAACTGGTTCAGGGTGTCCCCCACCTACTGCCCAAATGCAGTTGGGATAGGCTCCAGCACCCTCCATGACCCGTGTGAGGGTAAACGGATCGAAAAATGGATGGATGGATGAAATTTATGTCAGGTGTCAGTAAACATGCTTTTGAACCACAAAGACCTCATAGTGTTTGAAAGTCTGCCCCCTAGTGGAGTAAATTTAAAAACGCAGAACTTTGCAATGGCCTGCTCATTGTGACCCGTTTGTTTGTGCATTTGCAGGATCTTGATGGTGTTGACATTACACTTGGAGTTTGCTCTGGTGGCCTGATGGTTTATAAGGACAAGTTGAGAATCAACCGGTTCCCTTGGCCAAAAGTTCTCAAGATCTCTTACAAGCGCAGCAGCTTCTTCATTAAGATCCGCCCATCTGAGGTCAATCACAGTACACATTTTCCATCCGTTCCACTGTTGAATTATGTATCATGTGTCTTCTCCATAAACCAAATCAGTAAAAAAAAATAAAAAACAGCTCTTTTTTGGGGACTCTGCATTATATTTCGTGGTCCTGATGGATTAGTTACTCTTTTCGCTTTCTGAATGTTTTAATTGAGCCCTAATTAAGTATACTCTTCATATTTTAAATTACTGAAATTGAATATAAAAGCCTGTCCGCCTGCACAGGAGTTAGACTGTACTCATGCGACCTTGCTCCAGGGTAAATGTCATGCTTCATGCTGCGTGGCAGACTAATGTGATCAACCCATTGTGACGCCTTTTGACTCTGTCTTAATTGTTTTGTTTTCTTCTCACACAGCAAGAGCAGTACGAAAGCACAATCGGCTTCAAACTACCAAACTACAAAGCCTCGAAGAAGTTGTGGAAAGTTTGCGTTGAACATCACACCTTCTTCAGGTATGAACAGGTTGATCTTGAATAGTTTGAATGTCATGCCCCTTCTTGCCAACACATGCCCGTCCTCTGCATAATTGGCTCACTGCAGCCTAATCCGTGAAATTGGCTCCCTGTCCTTTTGACCAGCTACACTGCACTCATCCCGACCTCAGAATGAACCATCTAAGTGTCAAAGTTGTTGCTTACCAAGTTACGCAACACTGCCAATTTTGGAATTCGAAACCATCTACAGTCGTGCAACTGTAGGCTTGCTGCTTCGATGGTCAACGAAAATTGAAGAAATGTTTCTGTTCCTCAGGGTATCAACAACTGAGCCTCCCTCGTCACGTCGCTTCCTCGTCCTGGGCTCCAAGTTCAGGTACAGCGGACGCACCCAGGCACAGACCCGTCAAGCCAGCTCCATGATCGACCGCCCTGCCCCTCGCTTCACACGCTCTGCAAGCAAACGCCTCTCCCGCAATTTAGATGGAGGTAGGTTTGAGAGCCCTACCTTTGTGCTGCACAAAGATTTCATCATCAAACACGGATGCAGAAAGATACCGTTCTTTCGGCCCAACAGCTGGAGAGAAGACTCTCCAGAGCCTCACAGCATCAACCAGGTGTGAGGTTGATGACTGGTCATCGTTGCTTGTTTCTGAAAAGCCCCACCCTTTCCTTGAATTTCCAGGTACCCAGAATTGTGTGGAGCATTGCACCTGCCAAGGTTCATTACGCTTACTAATCGCAATATGTTGTCATTTAATGTACCAATGGATCCTTCCTTTGTCTTTATTAATCCTCTGACCAAACAAGACCATTCAAATATGGGTGTCATTGTCAGTTCAGTGAACTGTTCAGCCACCCACTTTGTCCTCCCCCTGGCATGATCCCAGCATATCTTTGGACACTGAAAAATACGCTGACTGATTCAGGCTTGACATTGCTTTTTCGTCTTGCTCAGAAGTCGCAGCTTGATCTTATGCAATGCGGTCAGCAGCTTTGTGCACATTGTCTTAACTCGGCTCCCCTTTGTGCAACCATCCCTGCTTCAATGACTTCTTGAAACAGCATTACCCTTTTTGGGTACAGCATTTCTGCTTAATGGCCACGTTCAAAACACTTACGTTGAGCTTTCTCACTAACCGCTGCTTACTGGGCTCACCGAGACTTTGCTCAAATGCTTTTCATGTAACTTGAAACACCAGAAAGCGTCATCACCAAATGGCATCATTCCATTATGTCTTCACAGCCACAGGTGAGTCTGAACAGACAATTATTCAGTCCTGGAATACTCAGGCAGGCAGTCGGCCGTGGTGGGAGCTTTCGTATGATGCAGAGCTACAGACGAGAAAAGAAGACGACTGGGCTACCCTGGTTGAACGAGATCCTCCTTTTCCCTTTTCCCCATCTTTTGAGTTTGTAAAAGGGCCAGGTATGAGCATTTGTCATGCCTGCTAGCTTCAGGAGCATATTTGCCCTCACAGGTGTGCTCAGTGTGCATTTATTACACTTTTGTCATTCTGTATTTTATAGTCTGTCTTATTTTTCTTCTCAAATTGTCAGCTAACATCAGCATGGCAAACACGAGCTTTATTGACAGGCTATTGCAACCAGCACAGGAACGACACCGTGATTGGTTCCTCTACTTTGATCGAAGCTCCAGCCCGTCCTTGTATAAGCATGTCGATAAACTTCAGCGTGAGTCACTGTGTGATGGTATGATTTGCAAGCAGACATTTTCTGCGGTCAATGAGACATAACACCTGTTTTTGCATCCCGTTTCGTGTTCCGTTCCTGCTTCTCTTCCATGCAGCCCAGCTCCAGGTGAAGGATGAGGAGACAGAGTGTGTCAAAGGGCAAGAATTGACAGATGAGGAGGCCATTGAGAGGCTAGAGGAGATGGTGATGATGGTGGAGAAGCTAGAAGAGATGGAGGAGTTGGAGAGGAAGCTGAAGAAAGTTAGAGATTTAGAAGAGAGGCTACAAGAAGTAGAAGAAATGTCAGGTAGGATCCAAGAAGTGATTGAAGAGGAATTAGGGGAACAAGAAGTTGCCAAACTAGAGGAGGAGCAACTACAGAAGGAAAGTAAAGCCATAACTCAGACGGTGCTGAAAAATTCTGTGAGGATAGTGAGGAACACGAATGAGGGCGATGAGTACGATGAGTTAGAGGAGCAAATAAAAGAGGTGTTTCTAAAGGGCCTTTTGCCCGAGGAAGACTCTGCTCAAAAAGGAAAAGATGAGCATTTATTTGATTATAGTCTGAGAGAGAAGCTACGTCAGATAGAAGAAGAATGGAAAGATGAGGTGGAGGAGAAGTTAAGTTTTCCACCTGCCAATACCTCTTCTCAGGTAGCTTATCAGACGGTGGTAAGCACTAAGAAGAGAGTTACTTTTGTGGATCAGAACCCACAGAGGCTTGATGCTATGGAAGATAGGCTTCTAAAGATAATCTCAGAAAAGACTTCCCAAAATGGTGAGATTGGACTGAAGACAGAAATAGTGGAGGAGAGAGCTGAGAGGGAAGTTACTGAGGTTGAAAGTGGATCTTCACGAGACAACGACAAGGATACGTGGTCCCTGCTTTTTGACCGTCTACCATACGCACCTATTATGAAACCTTCAGGTACATCATTGAGCATTTGAAATCTAGCTAATTTGTCCGACTTGTAGATTGCAGTGCTAACCATAAAAACACATTGCTGATGCTTTCTAAATTTAGATTTGATGGATTTTCAACTGGTTTGCACTTGTAAACAAATTTCGCAACGGCTTCCTGCAAATGTCAACAAGCTTTGCCTCTTTTTGGGCTTTGGTGCAAGTTGTTTATCACCTAAGTCCAAGTATGTCATTTTTCTTCACCTTGTTTAGTTACATCAGTCAAGCATGATGCGATGGATGAGGGGGAGTTTTTCACCTCAAAATCGGGGGTTACAGCAGTTGAGGATAAAAGGGTCCGACTAGAAGAACGACCAGTAGAAGACATTCCACCGCCACAGACCTTTTTAGAAAGAGAAGATGATTGGTTTGTGTTGCTGGATTGTGTTCCCAGATTTGTCAAACCAGGTACTGCTACTTTCCTTTGTGGCGCTTTGCAAAACACTTGAGCTTTCTTGTGCCCTGTTCTCATGCTCGCATATTTTGCTCATATCAGTGACCTTGAAGGAAGCAGGCCAGATGGAGGCAGAAAGTTTGGTCTGTCTGGTTGAAAAGCATGAGGAGTTTAGGGAGATGAAACTTGAAGAGACAGAGATGAGGAAAGAGGCACCAACATATCTTCAAGAAAGCCAACAACAGCCGGTGAAAGAACGAGATGATGACTGGTTTGTGTTGCTGGATGTTGTTTCCAAAGAAACGGCTTATGTTGCTCCAGGTATTGCTACGGTCCCCTGCATTGCTTCACGACTTCACTCCAACAAACTGTTGCTTTGAGCTTTGCTGCCATTTTTAATCTAAAAGCCCTTCTCCAACATGTAGGCTCTACAGGTTTGTATCTTGTAGCTCCTGTTGATGTGTCTGCTGAAGATGATGCCTCTCTGACTGACGTGATAGTTGAAATGAGGGACGACCCCGTGGATGTATTAATTAAAGAGACAGAAATAAAAGAGGACCTGAGCCAAAATGAAGTCACAATGCTGTCACCAAGTTTCAGAGAAATAGACGACGATTGGTTTTTACTGCTGGACGTTCCCACCAGAGAGCTCCAGTTTGTACCTCCAGGTATTGCTGACATCCCACATACCCTTCCTTACTTCATGCAGCCTTCGCTGATTTAATATCTTTCTTCACATCCTTGCTTTTGTCAAGTGACCCTGGCCGGGTACGCTCAGACTTATGCTGAAAAAGGCATTTCTCCTCTGGTTGAAGAAAAAGTGGAGGTTGTAGTAGAAGAGATGGCGCAAAAACAAGAGGCTTCTCAAAACATTTATCCAGAGCTGAAAATATTCCCAACAGTCATAAACAGAGATGACGACTGGTTTCTGCTGCTGGATGTTGTTCCCAGAGAAAGGGCCTTTGTGCCCCCAGGTACCCACATCCATCTTATGTTTTTCTTTTGTGCTTTTCTCACATGCCAGTACACCGAAGGAATCAAATTTTCTTAAATACTTTCCCTACTAATAGCAGCTAAGATCTACCCAGATACTGGGCCTGTGATTGAAGCGAAAGGCGTAGAACCCACACCGCTACCGGTTGGTTTGGACCAAATGAGAGAGCGCCCATCGCAACCACAGCCAGAGAAAGATGATGACTGGTTTGTGGCATTTGATGCCGTTCGTGATGAGGCGTTGATACGACTAGCAGGTATCCCGTTTGTGTTTGCGCTCACCGACAACAAAGCACATTTGCCTTTGATTGGCCGATAGAAACCCTCCTTTCCTTTTGGCTTTGTCTGCTTGTGCCAGACAATCCTGTTGAAATTACTCCAGCTGTGAGGAAGCCCTTTGAGGCTGAGGCGTTCACCACTGGGACTAGAACATGGGAGATGATGGTAACTGGTGACAACACCAGGCTTGTTGAGACACGAATTACAGAAATGAGGCCACTCGTACCATCATCAGGGAGAGAAGCAAAGGACGATTGGTTTGAAGTGTTCCAACAACAAACCATCCTAGAAAAGACAGCTCCTGTACCAACAGGTATCCATCTTTAAATGTATCCTCATGAACACTTTTTAAACCCTACACGTTAACGAGAAAAAATCAGTTACACAGTGCAACGACTGCAAGTTTCATTTCATATCTGCGTTATGTACAAATTTTCAGCTGCTGTGGTTGAGCATCTTGTGGATGAGACCGCAGTTATAGCAACAACACAAAAATACAGCAGAGAAGAAGTGAGGCTGCCAGTGAAGTTAGTTGAAATTAAACCACAACCACGACAGGTGGATGATGACTGGTTTGTGATTTTAGATGCAGTCAAAGTACCAGGTATGTCTGTTTTAACATCGCACAAAGCAGAGTTAATTTATATTTCAGCACAGGGTTTTTATTTATTTATTTATTTATTTTTTATAAATACGAAGAAGTTAAAATGAATCACCTTTTGTGACTAAGCTTTGATTTGACGTTTTTTTTTTTTTTTTTTTAATTCAACAATAGTGGCTGAACCAGTCCAAAGGTATCCTGATGTAGCTGCATCTAAAGCTTGGTCAGTCGTAGAGCAGAAGTCACTGCAGAGAATTACTGCAGTAGAGCAAATGTGGACGCAAGAGATGTTGCAGCAGCAACCATTTCAAACGGGGACAAAGATGGTGGATGATTGGGTTACTCTTCTAGATGTGGTTCCTAGGAAAACAGGTACATTGGAAAGAACTCAGTCCTTCATGCAAACGTTTGTCACATTACTGGGTCAGTTTACGTAGCTATTTGGCTTTTCAACCAGAGCTTGTGGTTGCTCGAGTTCATCGTACATTTTTGTGCCTTAATGTGTTTTAATGATATTCTGTGACATTAGCCACCGTCCCTGAGCGCCTCAGATTCCCGGCAGAAGCTCCGAGAGCGATAAGCTCTGAGACCAAAACAGGGATTTCTCTTTCTGAGAGACCCCAGTTTGAAAAACAGATCCAGGAAGAAAGACGGCTCCTCAAACATACTCATGTCCATGATGATTGGTTTGTTCTACTCGACTTTGCCCCCAGAAAGCCAGGTATTCTGCCTTTTTTTGACGTGCGACTCGCACATGGTTTGGCTTTTTGACCCATGCTTATTAACATAAAATCAAGATGGATGATGGCTGACCATCGCTAAAGGATGTCATATCAGCTCCTGATTACACTTTCTCAGTCACATTGAGCCTCGTTGCTCCTTGCTTTCTAACAAGAACTCTACTGCAGCTTCTCATTCTTTCCACTTGGTGGTATTTTGTGTGTGCTTTTCTGAAGTTATCAATGAAGGAGAATTCAAGGTAAAGTATCCCACAGTATGTGTCCTCTTTTCCCTAGAAACTCGCGGAAAGATATCGAGGCAACAGCAATGTAAGTGTGGAGTTTGTGTGTGTGTGTTATTTTTTTTTAGATACCGGTAATCTGTTTTTCCCAACACTAATTTCCATTGAGCTCCGTTCCGCTTTCTCTTGTGTGCAGTGGTGATCACACAGAGAAGCACCCGTCCTGTCAGCGCTCCAGTCTTCTCCCAAGCCGCTTTGGCAGAGGCTGGAATTCCAATGGCACCGTTGGAGCAACCACAGACCTCCACTCCGATCAGGACAGGAATCAAAGAGGAAGGGAAACTTGAGGTCACTTTAGAAGTTGTTGAGCCATCAAGAACTGAGGACAAGGTAGTCCTTCAATTTTTACCTTTGCGCTTTCAAGTGTTTACTGCCTCACAAGTATATTTGAATTCCCTCTTCGAAAAACTGCTGCCTCATGAAATTTGTCATGAGATTGCTCAAAAATAGTGATTACCATTCAAATAGTTCCATGAATGAAAATTAAAATGCTAAATGACCAATCAGGGATTGTTCTCTGAACTATGTCTCTTGCTGCTGTAGTCAGCAGTATGGACTGACCAGAGAACTGACTCCTCACTGACACTTTCCATCAATGGGGACATTCAGGTTAGTGTCAGACTCCAGCCTCAGAGACATGTTTCCATTCAAGACAACAAGTGGTAGGTATGCTAACATGTCTCCCTCTCTCCTCGCAGTCTGAGGTGACGAGCAGAGAGGTGGTGCAGTTGAGAAAGGTCAGATTCTTAGCCGTGTGTGTCGCTTCTCCATTTCTGCGGACAATTTGCTACGTCCAAAACAGTTCCATCTTCGTCTCATACAGTATGCAAACATGTAGCTCGGCCATACGATGTTCAGGGTTAATGGATAGAACCTGCAAGAATGAATAAAACATGATTTGCAAGCCATATTGACTTTGTACACATATTTGTATTAGTGCCTCAAGATTGTACACACGTTTGCCTTTGACGACATTATTATCCTCATCGCATGACGTTGCAATCCCTGGAATGCATTTGCATGGATCTTCTGTGCATTTAGGATTGGGCATGATAATCCATTTTGTATTGCCACTCGTGTCACCACAAATGCTTGTTTCTTTCGTTAACATCAGACTAGAGGGCGTAATCCTGTAGGGACTTGATGAATAGCCTCAAACCGTTTTGCATGTCGACTCTTTGCAGTTCCTTTGTTTTTAATTAACACTTGAGTGAACGTCGTAGCGTGCTTGTCCGACGTGTAGCTACCTTCATAGGAAACTGACACCCTGACTCCTCCCTTTTTGTTCTGTTCGTTTTTCACAGAAAAGGGCTAAGAAAATTGAGGGTGACTCAATTTATATGAGACATAGCCTTTTAATGTTGGAGGTTTGTATCCCCACTGGAGATGCCACGTCTCTCGCTTTATTTTCTTGCTCTTTGGTGCCCTGGCTGCTGTTTCATATCACGCTTGCATGAAGGCTTGATTTTGGACTCACATCAGCATTCATCACGTCTGATAGGCTATTTCGATTACAGATTAAAGAAATGTGTGTTTATGCCAATTCTAATCCACTTGTTCCAGGAGTTTGCTACTGAACGCTGAAGGCCTCTGCCAAGAAGGCTGCTCTTCTTGATTCTTGTACTGATTATACTTCACAGTCCATAAAATGATCCTTCTAGTGAGGGGGCAGCAAGAAAAAACACATTTATTTCTTTTTTTATCTCAAATGCACGGCGGTCCAAAACCTAAAGCACACTTTCGGTTGAGGTCTGAACAGGGTAAATATTTATTGAACTGACTAGAACAAAATGTTTTGAACGGAACCTTAAAAAAAAACAAAAAAACACAGATCTGAAAGAAGGCGATGTACATAAAAAAGGCCGCCATCATTAAAGCGACTTCCATGTCATGTTTTGTTAATTTTCAGTGCAGAGAACATGTGATACACAGGCACACAGCGGTCGAGCCGCATGTAGAAGGAGCTAGGGAATGATTGCGGGTGCCTAACGTTCAACATCGCAGCTGTTGCGCTGCGTTATGGGATTTGTAGGTTGTGCTTGTGTGTCATGATCGCGCTTCACATCGCGTTATTGAAGAAAAAAGATATTGTGCCGTGTTAGGGAATAGGAGATGTTATCCAGCATGCTTTGCTGTCGTCACAATGATCACTTTCTTGTTATTGTGCCTGTTTCATGCGTGAATTTTTTGTACCGACAAATGTAATAGTTGAAGTGATGTTTCTCGTAGTATACGATCAGATTATTGCCACTTTGGGTGGCGTAGAATCTGTCAACCGGTGATACAGTCTAGCGTCATTACACACACACACACACGCTTGTCTTCTTAATCAGTGAGGAACCTACAAATAGAACGTGCAGGTGTGGTGTATGCTTGCAACTTTACTTACTTGGGCTGAGATTTTCACACAAGTGATATTGCAATAGAGCATCAGGATGCTCCTGTTATGCTTATGCCCTTTCTCTCGCCATGCTTTTGCCATCTCATTTGCTAATTTGCTTAAAACGCATGCATTGACAGTCTGTGCAGTTCTGCAACTAAAATTCATCTACTAATGGAATTCTAATTTAGCATATGTTATTAGCGATTAGAGATGAAAACAAAGTAGGCTGTCATTATTCCCTGTGCATATTCTAAGGATTTACATTTAGGGACACTTAACATTAAATTGCTCTATGCACCACAGGTAATGATTAATGGCAGTTCTTTACGAAAGCTTTGGCTACATTATGTGTGATTGCACATCCATAGCGATCAACTTGAGACTAAATGTTCAGGGTTATTGCTGCTTTGTTCAAAGTTGTTGTTTTTTGTGAAGGCTCACCTTCATCGACCTGGCTGCAGTTTTCACTTTCATTGATTGGCAGCATGTTTGCCAGATTTTTGCAAGCATCATGCAAGGCACCAAATCAGTCTGATTTAAAGCTTCACAATCAACTCTGTTTGACAAATCATGGCACAGGTTGGAATATCATTTGATCAAGTCACGTAACTGCATTACACAATGAGTCTCAATCCATTGATCAGTCATGTGAAACGCACAATCCAGAATATTTAAAATGCGCCTCATTTACGGTTTGTCGAAATTGAATCACTAACTTTGCTTCTGCTTAGTCATATTTAATCAAACGTTTACCAAAGGTGATGATAATCCATGATTAATTTTCTTCCCCCGTCCTTTTTTTTTTTTTTGGCCTGCTGTCATATTCCATATTCATCAATCTTTCCCTTTACTTCCTTCCCTTTGTAGGAGTTTGATAAGCCTCATGAGGACCTGCTCAGGCATCACGCCAGTATCAGCGAGCTGAAGAGGAACTTCATGGAAGCTGTGCCAGACTCCAGGCCCAGTGAATGGGACAAGCGTCTGTCCACCCACTCACCATTACGTACGCTGGGTGTCAATGGTCAGCCCGGTGCCGATGGGGTAAGTGTCACGCACCAAACGACACATCGTTGTATGAAACAAATTGAAAAGGAGAAACACACACACAATGGTTTGAATACAGAAAACGTGATACACATGCATGCATCGTATCATCAGATATCTGCTCTTAGTTTGACAGCTATCAAGAATGTTGTGTGTGTTTGGAAAGCATCACAAGAGTGTGTGCTATTATCCATGTGCAAATTGGACGCTGTTTTTATTGATTTATTTTTCATCACTGTTCCCTGTGACCAAATTGGTTGAAATGGCAAAGTATTTGATGAGGTTCCCTCAGGTTGCTTTCTTGGTTGATGGTTTGATGGTAACGGTCTGCGTGCGCATGTTAAGACCTATTCATGGCGATGGCATGCAAGATGCAGCACACGCATGATCTGATGAAGAACGGTGGTTGGACTGGTTGAATAGGCTGCATTTGTTTGTTGTCACTCAGTCAAGTCTGATGTGGATGAGGCATCTTTGGGTTTCCGCCGACATGCTTCATCGGACATGCATCAGATTTTCCTGACATGTCCACATCGCATGCTGACAGACGTGACGCATGACAATGGGAAATGAACCTCTCCCCCGGAGGATTTGCACGTTGTCACACACCACGCAGTTTACTTCCCTCCTCTCTTCATCACGCCTTTTCTGCTTTTATGACAGTTTTGGTTTGCACTCTTCTCTTTCCACGCTGCTTTTACATTTCACTGCTGCTTTCTTCGAGGCTTGCTTGTTCCTGAAGAGAGAAGCATTCACAGCTGCGATCGATGTTTTTACCCTTTAGCCACCATCAAAAGCGCTAACTAGATCCTAAATAGAATCAATGGTAATCGTCAATTGTGTCTTACATAGTCTGATTAGAAACATTACACCAATATTGCATTTTGGATGGATGGAGTATACTTTCTGGTGGAGCTCCCGTTTCACTGCTCTCATAATGTCTGCACTCGAAGAAACCGCTACAACTAAGTATCTGTAATGATCAGGAGAATTACATGAAATTATGCAATGTAGTGTGATATAATTATGTAAGGCACGTAAAAGAGTACCTGAAAGAAAGTTAAAGTGAGAATGTCTTTTTATTAATTTTAGAAAAAAACAAACAAACAAAAATGCATGTTAAAATGCATGTGGTAACAATTCCATGCTTGGAATAAGAGGACCTGCAGTTTAAAACTCAAACAAACACTTGGCATGTTTTTATCGAAATTTCAAACACTGCCGATTTGGCATTTTTGCAAGTTCAATGGCCATCAAAACTCCTCCCTCTCATCTCTCTCCCCTGCTTCCCCTACCCCCTTCAGTTTGTCACCCGCCTCCCGCGCGGCCCCCTGCTCGACTTCTACTCCAAACGCAGCTGAGGGGCCGTCTGGACTCTGTGGAAGTCCCACACAGGCGTGAGTGTGACCTGCGGAGACAGAACCCAATCACCTTGCCATCTCTCTTTCTCTTCTCCGTCCCTCCGCCTACTCTCTCACATCACTTGTAGCAATCCTCATTTCTCATCCTCCTACTCGAGAAGACATCTTTTTTTTCCCCCTCTCCTTCATGGAACAAGACTGTTACCTTTTCTGTTTCTTAACACGCAATTTCCAAACAGACTGATTAGAACTGGAATTGAATCCAACATTGTTTTACATCTTCTCTGACTTTCTGTTGGACTCAAACACATTTTTGCTTAACATCGTATTGCCTCTCCTACCGACTTTTATTCACATTGCGAAAGAAAGACATTTATTGAAATCAGCCAATAGTTCTGTTGTACTGAGACGTTCATCAAAATCTTTGTCATTGTTTCTGTGATGAGAATCCACAAGGCAGCTATATTGTAATACTCAACCTTTTTTTTTTTCCACGTGTTGGTCAAGGCAGTAGTATAGCAACTGCATGAGTCTTCATGCATGACCAAAGAATAAAAACATTCCATTTACACGTCACTGGTTGTGTATTCATGCATTCTGAATTTTTTATGTGTGCATTTTGTCATGTGTCAAAATATTTATTGAAATTTAATTGGTGTATAAAAAATAATGCCCATGTTAGTGGAAGTTAAAAAAAGCAACTTTTGCTACATTCTGTATAATTACAGAACATCGAAATCATACCGCCAAACATGGAGTAACACATCTCTTTCATCATCAAGGTAGATTGATGTCTGATGTAAGCAACCAAGTAGTAACTTAAAGGGTACCTCCGACCGCCCATTTTGAGGAATTGCTGGGGAAGCAACGCACCATTGTAAAGTTTAATAAATATCTGCTGTTCCCATCTTTTTGTCTAGTCTTATATTTCCCAAAACGGCACGACCGCAATCGCTTTTATATTTTTAATATTTTTAATATCCCTGAAAAACACATTATAATCCAAAACAAAGTAACATCCATTTTTATCATGAGGGTTAAATAAATGAATTTTGATAATGCTTTATATACAACCATCCATCCATGCATTCACTGAAGCGCGTACCCTTGTGGACTGATTTTAAATCCATCCGCTTGTCGTACGAGGTGCTAGCTAGCGTTAAGATGTGTCAGCCAGTCTATTTTTGTGTCTTCTCCGGCATGCAAGTTTCAAAACTCCCCTCGTCTGCCACTGTGACGGCACAAGGCAAGCAATGAAGTAACAAAAACAAAGGCGTTAATAAGCAGGGGTCACTGTCTCGCTGAGCTTCATTGACAACTTAACAGTTGAATTTCATGCTTGATAGCCACCTATATATTCCTACACACGCGCAAGCGGTTCCGTGTTCTGTTCTCCAATGTAGCAGGATTTCAGGGGCGCAAGCGCTTTTCCCACATATATGTGCCACACGTACACGTGAGAACTGTGTGCGTGTGCGTGTGTGGGTGTGTGTGAGATGTGATTCGAATCTGGTTAACTAATTCGGCGGTTCATTTGTAGCAGCCAAAACGCTACTCAGTTCGTGTCACCGCCAATTTGTGTGTATCGCTACCGCATTGTTTTTTCGCTTATTATTGAGACATCCACGTGCTTTGAATTCCGCCATGATAGCTCTTAGACCAGAATGCTGTGCGAGCAGGTACTGCCAACGGCAGCCAATATCGATCCAGATTCGCCTTTCAACGACGCTACGTCACAGCTCCGCTTCCTGCAGACCAAGAAGGAGCAAGTATGTCTGCATTCGTTAACTGCCATGGCCTCTCCGACAAATAGGTCCCCCAAGCTATGATGAGCTTGCTTTAAGATAAGATAAGATATCCTTTATTTGTCCCACACTGGGGAAATTTACAGCCTTCAGCAGCAAGAAAGAAAGAAGAGAAAAGAAAACACAGTTCAATTAAGTGCAATATGAATACAAATATGGATAAGGTCAATAAGTTCAATTAAGTGCAATATAAATACAATAGTCACAGTACTATTCACATTCACATTTGTTGTCATATCATTTAAATAATTTTATGATTTATTTATTTATTTATTCATTTTTTATTCAATACAAAATTTAATACAACCAGTGTTACCAAAATGCTTTTGGATGCAATTTTTCTTGATAAACCATTTTCATTTTGTCATCTGACAATCACAGGTACCCTTTAAGTTTTTTGTTTGTTTGTTTGTTTGTTTTTTAAACTCTCCGTGGTCTTGTGTAGTTTACCGTATATCCTCAAATAGTGACCACCGCTCTAATAGAAGGCCATTTTTCAATTCACCAGGCATAAGCATAACCTTCTTGAGCACAAACACTTTGCTTCATGTCTCTTTTTTTCCTTTTCTGGAAATAAAATACCAGGTGATGCCATAAGTACCGTATTTTCCGCACTATAAGGCGCTTCGGAGTATCAGACGCACCTTCAATGAATGGCCTATTTTTAAAAGACTTTTTTATATATATAGGGTGCGCCACATTATAAGGCGCATAGAATAGAAGCTACAATAGTGGCTGAGGTTGTGTTATGCAGCCACTAGATGGAGCTACGCTAAAGGGAATACAATACAATACACTAAATTCAGCTTCATTTATGTAGCGCTTTCACAACCGCTGCAGCTGTAACAAAGTGCTTTACAGATCATTTAAAATAGTACATCCAAGAAATCAGAATATTGATCCATATATAAGACGCATCGGATTATAAGGTGCAATGTCGGCTTTTGAGAAAATGGAATGCTTTTAGGTGCGCCCTATAGTGTGGAAAATACGGCACCTTACTGTAGCCACATTTCTAACAAGTGGGACAATTTGTTTTACGTGCTACGGCTCCACCGCATATATAAAGGCGCAATACCAATAGTTGTCTAAATAGTGTGACATTTTTGCAGCTGTCCAGTGTGTAACTTGCCACTGAATTCAACAAAGACAAACACTTTGACTCTTGACTATGGACATCCTCTGTGAAAATTAAACATTAATCTGGTTAAAAAACAGCTTATTTTCAAAACTACCAAAGATACTTGTGTTAGAAAGAAACATTTCACAGCTGCAGCTGTTGTGAAAAACGCTATAGAAATAAAGATGCATTGTATTGTATGGGAAAGTACAATCAACAAAATGGATTTCAATGAGTAGGGAAGAGTTATTTCCTCCTTGGATTGCACCAATCAACAGGCGTCGCTTTGTCATGCCCGACCCATTCGCAGCACCTGATACTGTACTTTTGGGTAAATAATAAACCCCTCAGGCCACTATTTGAGGAAACAGGTACACAGATATAGGATTGATAATAACAATGAATATGACTTCTTTGTACCAATATTAATAATAAAAAACATTTAAATCTCTGTCTGTATTGTTTGGTGTCATATCAGCTTTGTTTGGTGTCATGTCAGGTTGAGTCTCTTGGATGAATTGAATTTTGTCACTGGGATCCTGTATACTCGCTATGCATCCATGTTTTGTTAAGATCTTAGCATTTCAATGATGTACCCCTTAGCGCAAAGGGGGTGTCCAACTCTGTTCATCGTGAGCCCCATATCCAGCCTGTTTTAGATATCTCCCTCCTCCAGCATGCCTGATTCAAATGATCAGGATCGTTCTTGGGCTTCTGCAAAGCTTACTGAGGAGCTGTGCATTTAAATCAGTTGTGTTGGCGGAGGGAGAGATCCAAAACAGGCTGGATAGGGGATCTCGATGAGTGGACTGGGGCACCCTTGCCTTAGCGTGTCATTTAAGCTCAAGGGCCTTTTGTCAAAGGAGTGTACGACTGCAGTACATCGTTATAATTTACACGGATTGGCATTTTTCTTTTTTTCTTGTAGAGCTTGCACATTAGTCCGCTGTGCAGAGGTACAGAGACCAGAGCTGCACTCGAGGAAACCGCTGTGAGTTTGGGCTTTTCCAGCAAGTCCAGTCCCATTGTGAGCCACTGCCATAGCGCTGTGGCTCCCAGAGTTCATTTTGACAAGTCAGTTGATCAGGAAGCACTTGTGGTGATTGGATCATCGCTGGTGCCAATGGTAGAGGTGGAGATGGTGCAGTTGCCTCCCTCCCTCGACCCCAGCAGTACATTTTTAAATGAGACCCAGAAAGAAGAAGGTTCATGTCCCAGATTTTCGGAGCACTCTGGGAGTATAGTTGGATCTTCTCCTGCTTCGTATTTCATGAGCGGTGGTCCACAGGTCATACGAAGTTTCCAGGTAGCCTCCCGTCGCCTTAAGGCTCATTTATCCGTCTCTTTTCAAACTTCTTACTATTTTTAGTGTTTGCCACACTTGCTTCTCACTGCAGCATTGCACAGTGGCGCGTTGGGCTCTCAGATATGGTGATGGTGCTCTCTACGATGCCACAAATGATCTAAACTTTCTTTTACCATCTTGGTTTTGATCTTTTGTTCATTTCTGGGACCCCTGCTTCATATTTTCTGCTTTCCTTTTGTAATCACTGGTGATGGAAAGGGAACGATTGGAAGACGGGGTTATTTCATCGTGAACAAACCTGTTCTGGGAATTGCCTCAGAAGGCATGCATGGTGTGAAAGGTTTGCTGTGGGGTGCAAGGTGTCTGTCTGGTTAAACAGCCACTCATGGGGCTATGCTCCCATCCACAGCCGCCTCTGGTGCAGACCCATACAGTCACCATCACAGCTGTCCCTAACTCCTCACCCAGTGGCATCTCCACCACAGAAGTCCCTATCGTCCCAACCAAGACCGTCACCTACGAGTCTGCAAAGGTAGGGGCTCCAGAACTAGCCTCGGCCATTACTGTTCCATCTATATCAAGTAGTCACCTGAAGGAAGAAGCAGCAGCAAAGTGTGAGTCGTTCTGTTAGGAATAAAGCCAAACCACAGAGTCCCGTGTCCTATCTGGTTGCTAATCATAAAATCATGATTCCCACTGGAATGTAATGAATTTGTCATTGTTTGTATGCCACGTCTGTGATAGTGTGAAGGGAGACAGGTCCCAAGTCTCCCGGCTGTATTTGGAAAATATTTTTGGGGGTCCCTTAATCATGGGCCGATGACAAGTTTGACACTTGACCGTGGTTTTAAAAAGTCACCGTTTCAGTAACGGCTGTCGGTGGTAATGACCTCTTCTTTTCTTTTTTTTATTTTTTTGACGGGACGTCTAAGCAGGCACAATATGATTGGCTGCTTCCAGAGTTGAGTAAACAAGCTGCCCCTTGGAAGTTATTTGCCTCCTATTAACTTTTTTTTCCTCCTCTTGATGAGCAAAGGGTGGGGGGGTGGTGAGCAGGTTCGCATGGAGGAGGAGGTCAAGGCGCTAACAGACACTGAAAAATGGATGCCGTTTTGCTTTGATTACTGTGCATTGTCCTTCAAAAAAATTGTGCGAGCAGGTACGAGTGGACACCATGAGTAGCCCACAGGTCTGTTCAAAAATGGCTCACCAGTGTTGGGACACTGTGACTTACTAAGAATAATTAAAATTGAAGAAGAGTGTCAGCATTTATTTATTTAAACTTAACATGGTACACATTTCTTCTGTACTAAATATTCGAGATTTTGTTTAAAAATAAAATAGATTCAGCAAAACTGGGAGGAAAATGCTGTTTTTATTTACCCAGATATTTGAAAAAAAAGGTCATTTCAGAACTGTGATTTTCATAATACCGTCATACCACAGTATTTTTGCTCATGGTTATCAAGTCGTCAGAATCTAATATTGCCTGCTGTGTCGATCGCAGGGACCAAAAATGGTACCTGTACCATTCATTTTTATGTCATATGGTTGACAAACTGTGTATTTATTATCCCCATGGGGGTTATTTGCCATGTAGTGCCAGAGCATTTTTTTTTTTTTTTTTTAATGGTTGACAAACTGTGTATTTATTATCCCCATTGAGGTTATTTGCCATGTAGTGCCAGGGCATTTATTTATTTTTTTTTGCCTAATCACTAATCGGCAAACCCCCTCGCTGCCCATCTTCAGACTTGATCTCAGTTTTACTGTTTGGTGCTTTCTACCGTCCTTGTTACTGATTTATTGCTTTATTGTTGTATATATGATAGTTGCTCCATGTACAACACTTTGTATGCAGCGATGGCTGTTTGAAAGTGCTCTATAAATACAGTTGAGTTGAGTTGAGTTGAGACTGACATAGCTAGATGATCAAAGAGTCATGTGTATATTTAGTCATTCAGTGAAAAAAAAATGGTAATCGTTTTCGTACCAATGAGGTGGAATTGGAACATTTCCTGCAGCCTGACATAGCTGGATGATCAAAGATAGTGTATATTTCGTCATTCATTGAAAAATAAAACGGTAATCGTTTTAGTACCAATGAGGTGGAATTGGAACATTTCCTGCAGCAAACCCATTGGGAATAGCTGGAGCAAAGAAACTTATTTTTAGCAACTTGCCCGTTGAAATACACAACAAAGTTCAGATGGCGTACGTCGTGGTTGTCTACAACCATTCATGTTGAATTTTTTTTTTTGTTTTTGTTTTTGGTTTGTCTTTCTCAGGGTGCAGTTGACGGGACAGAAGAGGACAAAGAAAGCACCATGTCCATCTCTCAGACCTCAGAAACCATCAGTGGCACCACTGTCACTACCACCACTACACACATCTCAAAGGTCAGCTGCTGGTTTTTCAATCTGCTCTTCTGTTCTCATATTTTCCTGTTATTAACATATTTTTGCTGTTTTCCCGAAAGCAGATTGTGAAAAGTGGCTCCTCCGAAACTCGTGTGGAGAAAAGAATTGTCATAACTGCTGACAGTGACGTTGACCAGGATAAGGTACAGAAGCTTCATTGATGCCATAAACTGACGAGCCCATTTACACAAAGCAAAAACCTTTTTAGACTCAATGACATACAACGAGGCGGAGAACTCAGCGCCGGGGGTTAAACTTCCCATTTTTGCTATATATACCCTTGAACACAAGAACAGATGCGAAATTTTGCGCATTTTTGACTTTGGAAAGTTTTCATGGGATCAAACAGGAATGTACAAAACTGATGGTTGGCTCGTAAAAGGGAAGTTGGGGAAAATAGAATTTAGCATCATCCTGACAACCAAATTTGGTGGCACAGTTAAAATACTGTCACGCCTTCACATGTGGGAAGGAAAGTTATTATTTTTCATGGAATCTCTGCTTTTACAAAATAGAATGTTTGTATTTATATTTGAACTTTTCCACTAAATTACCCTCAATTTGCATAATCTCATATCATTGCAATGGAAAGTTTCCAACAAATAAATATGTTCCAAATTCCCTTTCTTAACTCCCATGAAATTACACTGGAAACGTAAGGGAAATTTACTGGAAATTGTCCACCCCTTTACAATCTTATTTTTTGTAGACTGGCAGCGTCCCGCCTCTGTTACATCTCTGAAACTTGATCTCAAAGCAGCCAGATCGTAAAAGCGCCAATGCGTTGTTGCGAGAGGTTGTGTACAGTACGTTGGCTTCAAATAGCGACCAGTTAGCGATGTGAATCTACGGGAAAAGTACTGTATTTTCTGCACTATAAGGTCCTTGGGATTATAAGGCACACCTTCAATGAATGGTCTATTTCAAAACTCTTTTCATATGTAGGGCGCAATGCATTACAAAGCGCATAGAATAGAGGCAACAATAATGGTTGCGCTATGCATCCACTAGATGGAGCTACGTTAAAGATTATACAATACAGCTTTATTTATTATCGAGCAAAGCGATGCAGAACTGGTCACAAACACGGACATGAAACATATAAATACAAATGGCATCACAAAACAATAAATAAAAGTCAAAAGTTCGGAAGACAATTGATTCAGGAAAAAGGCACACAGACCTCGTGGGCTCACATCCACAAGGGGCTAAATATCCTTCGAGGTCTTGCTTGTCTCCTTCTTCCTTCGTTTAATCAGTTCATAATACCAAAAGCAAAAGCATAGTTATGCTTTTGCTTTTGGTATTATGAGCACACAAAAGCAAAAGCATAGTTATGCTTTTGCTTTTGGTATTATCTTTGTTTCATAATGGCTGTGCAGAGCTCACAAAGTTGTTGTCTGCTTGAGTGTGTGTTGGCGAAAGCACATGTCAATTAGTGACTGGCAGAACCCTTTCAGGTTACTATTGGTTCCTGCTAATAATCACCACTAGATGGCACAGGAGCACTAACAGGGAAACAAATCAATGGAGAATATAAGTAGACTGTGTAAGGCCATACATAAGGCGCATCAGATTAAAGGGCACGCTGTCGGCTTTTGAGAAGATTGAATGCGTTTAGGTGCGCCTTACAGTGCGGAAAATACGGTCCTTTTCAACTATTCCCAACATGATTAGAATTGAAGCGATTTTTGTATGGTCTATATCTCTTCCAGGAGAAAGATGGCGGCGCATCAGCATTGTAACTGGGCACCACGCGCAGCTCCTACTTTGACTGTCCATCTCCCATATCCCTTGGTCAGAGTGCAGCACTCAGCACACGCTGACCGACCGACACTTAACGCACGCACGCACACATATCTCTGAATGTGCACCCGGTAGCCGAATCTGCGTAGATCGTGTTTGTTTTCGTTCTCTTTATGGTTTTGAGCTATTCATAGAAAGTTAGAGGGCTGCACCGTGTTTGTTGATCAAACCTCACTTACAGAGGGTCTGGAAAGCTTCTCACTTCCACTTCCATTGTTTGAAAACATATTTCTCTTTCTCTTCATTTGTAGCAGACATGTTTGCTTTTCTCTTTTCAATTGTAGCAGACGTGTTTGCTCTGAAACTCGTTTGCTTCCCATTTGGAAAAAAAAAAGAAATTTATTTCACAAATGCACTGTTTCTGAGTTCATTTCGATTGTCAGTGTTCATTCCCTTGGAGTAGTCACAAGGGAACTCTTCTTGTTGTTTATCCATGCGTTACTTTCAGGAGAAACAGCGGGTGAAATTATGTAGCTCACATTGATTCACGAAGATAATTCTGTGCCCCGATTCGGGCAGTTGTTTGGTTTTGCTCAGGAAAAAAAAAATAACCAAAATTTTGTTCTTTTACGACCAGCCGACAACATGTAGCCTAAAAGTTCTTGTAAAGTTTGAATTAAAACTATTTTGACATATTCATCTATTTTATAGGTGTAATGCTTTTATAGTGTTTGTAAAAATTGAAATTTTTAAGTTATTCACATCCCCCTTGATTTAAGTTTGACGTTGACAAAAGTCAAGGTCTCTTTCTTCCGTGATTTGCTCTTACTCAATTCCTCTTGCGGAATTGAGTAACTCAATTCCTCTTGCCCCGCCATTCATTAGCTATGGTGTAACGTTGTGCTTCCCTCAGCCGTGACGCGTTGATAAACGTTGAACGCTTTGGTCTGTTTCTCTCAGGTTTTAATACACTTCGCAAGACCACAGACCTCAATTAGAATGTATGAGGAATGTCCATTTATTTCTAGCTGTCCCTACTTTTAACGTACATTCATGGTCAGCCGAGTGAAGTGAAAACATGGAAAAGAGCCTGTTCTCACGAGAATTTCGGAGGAATGCGTGCAAGAATGGAGGTGACTTCAAAAGGCTTCCCTTTTAAAAATACATTTTATAGTCACATTTTCCCCCTGACACAAAGCCCTCATCTACTCATTTGCATTTATTGGAAAATAACATTTGTCCTTTGGGGCACAGTCTCTGGAAAACAGTCAAATGTGACCAAATATCATGCAGAACTTTTTGTACAATTTCCAAGGAAACTCTTGCGAGAACATGTTGCGCTTGTGGCTCGTCTCGGTCAAAGTGCAAGTGGGAGGCGAAGGCAGCTGTCCTGGTAAATGTGGCTTTTGATGTCATAGGAGCACACATTTTTTTGTTGTTGTTGTTTTTTTTTATTTTTTTTTTACGTTCTACTATACAGTAATTTATTTGTAAAGTAGCAACTGTTTCATGTGATTTGACGTACTGTGACATTTCAAGGAAAAAGCGGCTTCCGTTTAGAGACGTCACCGAGTTTATATCAAGAAAGTTTGTAAAGCCTTTTACCACATAGTCAAAGTAGATTTGCTCCCACTCGCTGTCTTATGTGATTTTCTGTAGAAGATAGACGCTGTCAAACACACCCGTCCCTTTTAGACCACGTGTTTCTTAGTCTCGGTCGCAAACCTGGTAGCTACGACAACGGCAACCTCCCCAGAAGAAATTTAGAATTTCACATGGGAAAAATAGATTTTAGATGGTGGAAAACATTGTTGCTTTGTGATTCTTCTTTGTCTTTTATTAAAAAAAATGAAATAAACATTATTTTGCCTCTTAATGGACTCTGCACACCATGCAAAGTATGACTTTAATGTTTCCCAAAAGCCTCCGTGGATACTATACAGCACTGCGCCGTGGCTCACTAATATTTAATTAATGCACATAACGTACCTTTGTTCATCTGTCTATGACATTGACGTATAGTGGCAAGCATTGCAAATACATGCTGAAAGTACAAAAACGTTGGGAAATGCTGCTGTGGAGAACAATACATTTAGAAATATCTTTTGAAGGGCAAGATTTCAAAGTGATTTGGTAATTATGTGCAACGTCTTTGTTCGTCATCAAGCCGAAACTAGTCCGCTTTGACACAATTTGCACTCATCCGGTCTCATTTCGTAATCCAGGTCCAGGAGCAAATGCGGAGGAATGTTATGAATGATGTGGGAACACAACATACAAAAGTAGGGATGTCCAACTGCGGCCTTCGAGAGCCCATATCCAGCCCGTGATTCAGTTGTGTTGGCAGAGGGAAACATGGACAACAGGACTGGACTTGGGCCCGCTAATCCTGAATGTGAGGCTGCCGCGGAAAAGATGATTTGAATTCTTTGTGTGGTAAAATGTCGGACGATCCGAGTGTAAGGGAAGAGCAGAGTTTAATTCAAGTACTTCCTTTATTCTGTTTCACAACTTTTCATCGAATTTATGAAAGAACTGTGATGAACAACCAAACTCATTTTTATTTCATTTGATGAGTATTTGTTTTGAATGTTTAGGGAATTTTTACAACTTTGCATTTCAAGGTTTCATTACTACTTCAGAGGCAATTTTTTCCAGAAAAGATCTTTAATCACCATTTTTATGTAAGCACACACATTCATAATTGATTTCCACGAAACTTGCAAGAAACAAGCTATTTCTTGACCCTTGCAAGACATTTTGTAGGTATGGCTTGAATGTTTTGTTTGTTTCTCCAACACAAAGAAACAGTTGTTAGATTTGTTTTGAAAGCAAACCTAGTGTACATTAAGACGTTTCATCTGGCTTACATCATATTGAATCTTTATGATTCTTGAACATCTTATTTTAAGAGCAACGAAGGCATGTTTCATTTATACATATATATATGTCAATATAAAAATAATCATTAGAGGAAGTAGGCTAAATATTACATGACAAATAATTTGCGATGGTTACATAATAGGTATAGGTAGAGGTGGGCATTTGTATCCACTTCCATGACGATGGTGAAAATAGATTGATCATTCATCAAATGTTTTCAGATATTTCAACGCGATTGCACAAGCTCACGATCTTGTCTGACGTCATGTTCTTCACAACACAGACTCGTTGAGACTGAATCAAAATGGCCGCTGTTAGTTCCAGCCAAGCAATCAACTACTTTTCACCTCAAGACAAGATTAAACAACAATCACTTCCACAAAAAAAAAATAATAATAATAATTGATTCCTGTGTCGATCCCCAATATTAAGTGGAACTTATGATGTGTTCGAGAAAATTCCCTCAGGGCAATTGTGAGAAGTTTTTGGGAGAAGCTGGTCCCTCACGTCTCTTCTCGTCCTTGTTCATACCTTCAAACATGAGAATTCTGAAATCAAAGAAATCACATGTAAGTGCATGTGGCAACCTTCCGTAGGGAACTTCAGAGGGCAAATTGGCCTGCAGTCCCACTCACAGCTTCAAAATGGCGTGCCTTTTTCCCAGCATCATATCTAGGAAGTCAGTGTAACTGATTGTCTCTTTGGATGTTCCTCCAACCACTTCCGACATCATCTTCTTCAACTCCAAGTGAGTCTTGGCCAGTCCCAGTTTCTCCAGCATCCGCTTTAAGCCCATCATGTCTAAAACCCACCACCAAAAAGTAAAAATCAAGAGATAGTCATTGCTCAAGGCCTCTGGAATTGTAATTCATGAATCCAAAGGTTTACCTATATCCCCTTTGTCGTTAAGATCAAACTCCATGTATTTCTCTGGAGAGTTAAAGAAAAAAAAAAGTTCAGTTAAAATCGAACAGAGACTAACATTTGCAATTCGTCACCATGTCTTAAAGTTGTTACGTTTGAACATGTCGAGCTTGAAGGCAAGGTCTTCCACGTCTGCATACTGCTCATCAGACAGAAAAGCCTATCAGGTAAGAAAATAACACATATTGTTTCTTTTTTAGGAATTCAACATTGTGTTCTTGAATATAAGGCGTCCTGATGTCTCACCTCATTGATGGCGTTTAGTTTGTCCTCTTGGTGAGACTTGAGGAGGCCGTATGCTTTACCACCTGCCACCAACAAACAAATCTTTAATGGTTGAACGATTCGACAAGTGAAAGATGGTGAGCAAAATATAAAAAGATGGCGAGCAAAATAACCAACCTTGAACTTTGCTGTCCATTTGTACACTGCAAAAAGAAAGTTAAACACAGCCTGTTGTTGCTTCTCTAAAATGAGCCCAAAGAGGAAGTGAACTTCTCTTAGTATTAAAGCTGCAATCAGACTTTCACATTTTTTCACAAGACTTGTGTTGCACAAGGCGATCATGTTTGGGAAGATGCAGTGTCATTCACACTTTTTGTGACGGCACATAGGATGTTTCTCAAAATAACTTTTTCAAATGATATCATTCGTGGGGAAGACATCTTTGAACATCTGGAATGTACAGTGTTGATCAACATCATTTAAAATGTAATAAAGGGAGGCAGTCAATTGATTACATTCTTCGTGTATGTCTCAATAAATATAAAACAAATGAGAAACACGGTGATGTATTCTTTGTGGCTGACTGTTTGTAACCTTGAAATTTAATATGTCAGCATGTCGTAAATGAAGGATCTGAGATATATATATATATATATTCTCCTTAGCATTATTTAAAAGTGATTACAATATTACAATCCCTAAATTGGGATGTGTTTCACAAGTTTGAGCCCTGAGTTACTTTTTTTTTTTAATCTTCATAGGGGTACACTTGCCACAGAATATTTGCACTTTTTCAGAATAAAAATAAACCACGGTTTATTTTAGGACTTTATAGATTGTACTGAAAAAGGCAGCACATACACACCAAAGAACAAGTGAAAGTGACTTTTTTTTTGCCACTAACTTGAAAAAGAGTGGCGCATGTGCTGCAGCAAAACCACTCTATTAAAGTCTAGTGGTAATTAGTCAGTTATTAGTTTTTTTTTCAACATATAAAGTTATTCCCACTGAAATTTCATTTCCTTTCACTATTAGGCCTACTCCGCTTGCTGTGACTTGGGTCTCGTGATCGTGACGTCCACATGTGGATCATGCAATTCCTGCCAGGTCAGTGTTCTTGTTTGTTTATTTTGTCAGTTTTTAGTTCATGCAGGGACAAATGTTGAATAGACAGAATTTAAACTATTTGGGGAGGAGTGAAAGTGGCATTTGTATATCTTTACCAGCTGCAGGCGTTCTTTAGTGGAAGGGTTTTATACTTTTTACTGGAAAATAATCTTGAAACTAATAAAAAACTAAAACGAACACAATTTTATTTAAGCGTTTCATATGTACTCCAAAGAGACCGATTGACATAACAACCAGTCACTTGTGTTGATTGTGCTGAAAAGCGAGCCACAAAAGTTCTGCACGAAGGCGGGACTTCATTAGAAATCCACTTTTCGTCGAGGAGAGTACAGTCATGCCCGCCGACCTTCATGTGATGGGCAGTGAAAAGGAACGATAAGGTTGAAACCATGGGCGTCATTAGGCCTATTTTAGGGAGGCTTCAGCCTCCCTAAAAATGTCTTAAGCCCCCCTAAATAATTTCATTGCATTATTTAAAAAAAAATATTATTTACTTTTCCTGTACTTTTGCTAATATATTGCATCAAATTCAATGTAATGTGGCCATTTTAAATTATATTTCGATAACCTGCCATTATTGTAATGTTAAATCTCCCAGGTTTCCTGAACGCAACAGGTGTTGCGTTTGCATTTGACGTGTCTGTCACCATCGCCACATCAAATGCTAACGCAACAACTGACAGTTCATTGCCGAAAGTGAGGTTGAGTCGACAGCATGGATATTCGACAGTTTTTTAGAAAGGTAAATTAAGTATTCAATGCATCCATGCTGGTAAAACTAGTGACTATAGTCCACAAAAATATCTCCAGAAACAGCAGAAACTGCACTGTAACAAGTGTTCACTTTTGGATAAATTAAGGTGGTGCTTAATAAAAATTAAGCAACATTTTATTATTAAATACACAAATAATCATTACACCAACTCTTTGAGGCAACACCTATTGAGATTTTGAC